GTGAGAATTATTTGAGATCACATGCCAAGATTATGCTTGACCTCTCCCCTCACAGGCCTGGTCTTCACTAGGAAAACACTGTTGTCTTTTGGAATCACCTATCTAAGGTACTTAGCCAGCCCCCATCCCTACAGTATCTGAGCATGTCATAAGGGTTAACATATTTATCCTCTGAACCTTCCTCTGAGGCAGAGCAGTGCTATCTTCCATGTAAAGAGGGGAAACTGAGGCACACAACCTTGTCCAAGTCCACACAAGAAGTTTGTAGCAGAACATAGAATTGAACCCGGTCTTCAAATCCTCAGTTAGTACCCAGAGCAGTGGACCATCCTTCCTCTCACCTAGAGTTCAATCTTAGACTGGGAAGGGACCGCCAGAGATCATCTAATCCAACCCCCTACATTGAGACAGGACCAAGCCTAGACCATCACTGACAGGTGTTTGTCCAAGTTCTGCTTAAAAACCTCCAATGATGGGGATTCCACTCTCTCACTTGGAAGCCTGTTCCAGATCTTAACTACCCTTATCGTTAGAAAGATTTCCCTAATATCTAACCCAAATCTCCCTGGCTGCAGATTGAACCTATTATTTCAGAGGACATGGAAAAAGGTTGATCACCATCCTCTTTAGAATAGCCCCTTGCAGACTGTTATCAGGGTCCCCCTGAGTCTCCTTTTCTCAAGATTAAACATACCCAGTCCTTTTAACTTCTCTTCACGGGTCAGGTTTTCTCAACCTTTTATCATTTTGGTTGATCTCCTCTGGATTCTCCCCAATCTGTCCACATCTTTCTTTAATATGGTGATCAGAGTGGGCCACAGTATTCTAGCTGAGGCCTCACCAGTGCTGAGTAGAACAGGACAATTACTTCTCATGCCTTACATGTGACACTCCTGTTAATAGGCCCCAGAATGATTAGTCTTTTTTGAAACTGCATCACATTGTTGACTCATATTCAATTTGTGATCCACTATACCCCCCCAGATCCTTTTCAGCAGTACAGCCACCTAGCCAGTTATTCCCTATTGTGTAGTTGTACATTTGATTTTTCCTTCCTAAGTGTAGAACTTTGCACTTGTCTTTATTGAATTCCATTTTGTTGATTTCAGACCCATTCTCCAATTTGTGCAGGTCTTTTTGAACTCTAATCCTGTCCTCCAAAGTTCTTGCAACCCCTACCAGCTGGTGTCATCTGCAAATTTCAGAAGTAGACTCTCAAGTCCATTATTCAAGTCATTAATGAAAATATTGACCAGTTACAGACCAAGGACAGACCTCTGCAGGACCCCACTAGACATGTCCTCCCAGTATGATAGCAAACCATTGATAAAAACTCTTTGAGTATTGTCTTTCAACCAGTTATGTGATTACCTCATAGGACTGTATTTTAAAGAAGCCTTATTGAAGGCACAGGAACAAACCATCCCAATGTGCAGAAAGAATAGCAAATATGGCAGACAACCAGCTTGGCTTAACAGTGAAATCTTTGGTGAGCTTAAACACAAAAAGGAAGCTTACAAGAAGTGGAAACTTGGACAGATGACGAGGGAGGAGTATAAAAATATTGTTTAATCCTGCAGGGGTGTAATCAGGAAGGCCAAAACACAACTGGATTTGCAGCTAGCAAGGGATGTGAAGGGCAACAAGGAGTGTTTCTCCAGGTTTGTTAGCAACAAGAAAAAGGTCAAGGAAAGTGTGGGACCCTTAACGAATGGGGGAGGCAACCTAGTGATAGATGATGTGGAAAAAGCTGAAGTACTCAATGCTTTTTTTGCCTCGGTCTTCACAGACAAGGGCAGCCCCCAGACTGCTGTCCTGGGCAACACAGTATGGGGAGGAGGTGAGCAGCCCTCAGTGGTGAAAGAAGAGGTTAAGAACTATTTAGAAAAGCTGGACATGCACAAGTCCATGGGTCCAGATCTAATGCATCCAAAGGTGCTGAGGAAATCGGCTGATGTGATTGCAGAGCCTTTGGCCATTATCTCTGAAAACTCATGTCAATCGGGGGAGGTCCTGGATGACTGGAAAAATGCAAATATAGTGCCCATCTTTAAAAAAGGGAAGAAGGAGAATCCAGGGAACTACAGACTGGTCAGCCTCACCTCAGTCCCTGGAAAAATCTTGGAGCAGGTCCTCAAGGAAACCATTTTGAAGCACTTGGAGGAGAGGAAGGTGATCAGGAACAGTCAACAGGGATTCACCAAGGGCAAGTCATGCCTGACCTACCTGATTGCTTTCTATGATGCGATAACTGGCTCTGTGGATATGGGGAAAGCAGCGGACATGATATGTCTTGACTTTAGCAAAGCTTTTGATACAGTCTTCCACAGTAGTCTTGCCAGGAAGTTAAAAAAGTATGAATTGGATAAATGGACTATAAGGTGGATAGAAAGCTGGCTAGATTGTGGGGCTCAACGGGTAGCGATCAATGGCTCGATGTCTAGTTGGCAGCCGGTATCAAGTGGAGTGCCCCAAGGGTCAGTCCTGGGGCCGGCTTTGTTCAACATCTTTATTAATGCTCTGAATGATAGGATGGATTGCAACCTCAGCAAGTTCACAGATGACACTAAGCTTGGGGGAGAGATAGATATGCTGGAGGGTAGGGATAGGGTTCAGAGTGACCTAGACAAATTGGAGGATTGGGCTAAAAAAATTTGATGAGGTTCAACAAGGACAAGTGGAGAGTCCTGCACTTAGGAAGGAAGAATCCCATGCACCGCTACAGGCTGGGGACCGACAAGCTAAGCAGCAGTTTTGCAGAAAAGGACCTGGGGATTACATGGCCAAGAAGCAGGTTATCAGTCAGCAGTGTGCCCTTGTTGCCAAGAAGGCTAATGGCATATTGGGCTGCATTAGTAGGAGCATTGCCAACAGATCGAAGGAATTGATTATTCCCCTCTATTCGGCACATTGTGAGGCCACATATGGTGTATTGCATCCCGTTTTGGGCCCCTCACTACAGAAAGGATGTGGACAAATTGGAGAGAGTCCAGCGGAGGGCAACAAAAATGATCGGGGGCTGGGGCACATGACTTACAAGGAGAGGCTGAGGGAACTGGGCTTGTTTAGTCTGCAGAAGAGAAGAGTGAGGGGGGATTTGATAGCAGCCTTCAACTACCTGAAAGGGGGTTCCAAAGAGGATGGAGCTTGGCTGTTCTCAGTGGTGGCAGATGACAGAACAAGGAGCAATGGTCTCAAGTTGCAGTGAGGGAGGTCTATGTTGGATATTAGGAAACACTATTTCACTAGGAGGGTGGTGAAGCACTGGAAGGGGTTACCTAGGGAGGTAGTAGAGGTTTTTAAGGCCCGGCTTGATAAAGCCCTGGCTGGGATGATTTAGTGGGTGTTGGTCCTGCTTTGAGCAGGGGGTTGGACTAGATGACCTCCTGAGGTCTCTTCCAACCCTGAGATTCTATGATTCTATGACTTTCCCCTTGACCAGTGATATTCAGATTGCAGCTCGCAAGTGGTTCTTTAATGTGTCTCCTGTGGCTCTTTGCAGCACATGATATTAAAACACTGTGTGATTTAATTATTAACCAATCTAAGTTATTAACCAGTCAGGATGCTTTTAGTATGTGATTAACCAATTAGCTTATCTACTTGCACTAAATTATTAACTTATTTGCTGTAAGAATTAGATAGATAGATAGATAGATAGATATTTCCACTGCCATACTGTTTAAATATGAACAGTACTACTGTAAATGAAACAATGAATTCTCATGACTGTGGCTCTTTTAAGTAATGTCGATCACTAATTTGGCTCCTGAACCACTGAAGTCTGAGTCTCACTGCTGTAGACTACATCTCCCTAGTTTGCTTATGGAAACGTCATGTGGGAGTTTGTCAAAAGCCTTGCTAAACTCAAGGTATATTTTGTCTACAGCTTCCTCCTATCCATTAGACCAATAATCCTGTCAAAGAAGGAAATTAGATTGATTTGGCATGATTTTTTTCTTCACAAATCCATGCTGGCTATTCCTTATATTCCTGTTATTCTCCAGGTGCTTACAAATTGATTGTTTAATAATTTGTCCCAGTATCTCGCCAAGTATCGAAGTTAAGCTGACTGGTCTTAAATTCCGCCAGTCCTCTTTGTTCCCCTATTAAAGATAGGTGTATGAATGCATGATGCTGAAGCTGCTTGGGCACAGTAAAGACAGTGTGAAGCCTTAAAGTAGGAATGAGTCCCTTGCACAATGCCATACTACAGGAACCTTAATGTACATGAGACTCAGTCTCCACATAAAATGTAAAATAGTCAGGGTACTACACCTAGGGGATGCAATTATCAGGGCTGCAGACGGACAAACACCTGTCTGGCAGAGAAACCTAGACACTACACTTATTCAATGCCCATTTGACAAAAATTGGCAACAAAAACTGGTAAAATGTCTGTATCACTTAGCAAGGGAAACTCAGCTACAAATGAGCAGTAAAGTTCAACACATCACCGTTGGTTCTCCTCTACTTTGGCATAGGTTGCTCCTTTCTGAACATATGATGGGAGTTTCCTCACATCATTGACTTTTGGCAAATGGTCAGCCAGTGCATTTTGGACACTGCTACAGTTCAATGGGCCGTAGATCCCAGGGTTTTACACAGAGCTTCCTCCCCAGTCTCTACCAATGAGATGTCTGTCCTCTTCTCTCCTTGGTTGCACAAAGTGGAATAGCTAGAAGCTGGAAATTATCCAGTCCATCTACAGAAGGCCTGGCCCACATAATAGCAATGGATAAACTGACCCTATGATTGAGAGACGTGCTTGCTGACTACAAGGGACTCCCTGTGGGGTAAATTAGAAAATCTCCACTTACTAAGTAACTGTGAGTTAGCCTATCTGAAAGAAGACTGCAACTAATAATTTGCATGGAAATCAGCTGGCAGGTTTCCCTAAAAATGGGATCAGTGAAGTCATCCATCATACAGATAGGTTATTGCAAAATTACCTCCCACGTCATTCCAAGTTGCTCTGATCTGCTGTCTCTGCTCTCCACCTGCAGTTCTTTCTATTTATTCTAGATTTGGAGTTGATAATCTCTCCTGCTTTCCAGCTGTTTGACTATTCTCCTGGGGGATGCATTCTTTCCTGCAGCTGAGGTAAAAATTAAAAAATATATCTTGATACTATTAAAAATGCTTTTATTTTCTGATGAAATGTTTTGAAATGAACAATTTTTGTTTTGATTTGAATCACATGGAAACAAATCCAAACTTTTTCATTTTGGGAGGTGGGGGAGCAGTTTCACTTTTTTTCTCTTTCTAAGAGGAAAAGAGAGAGGGAAAAAAGGGGAAACACCCATAAAAAATGAAAACTGAACCATTTTTCATTTGTTCCATTTGATTCAAATCAAAACAAAAATTGTTCATTTCAAAACATTTCATCAAAAAATCAAAAATCTTTGAATGGTTTCAACATTTTCCCAATTCTATCTCATTGGAAAGAAAGAATTATTATTAATTATTGTTATTTGTTTTGTGGTCGTATCTAGGAGCCCCAGTCTTGGCCTAGGACCCCATTGTGCTAGGTGCTGGACAAACACAGTCCCTACCCTGGTAAATCCTTCATTCCCTCACTCATTCCCCCTTTTTATCTGTTGGTGGGGGGTCAGACCTCAAACCCCACAACATTTCAACCCCATTGGATTCAAATCATAATGAAATTTTTGTACTGAACTGTTTTGTTGAAAAATCAGAACATTCAGTGAAAAATTTCCAACAAAATAAAACAAAATTCATTTTGTCAAAAACTTTTCCTAGAAGAGAATTCCCCCCTTTTTTTTAAAACTAGCCCTACAAATCATACAGCATGAATTACAAATAGAAAATAAACAAAGCAATAGCCTTAGGCCAAGGTTTTCAAAAGTGATCAGTGATTTTTGGGTGCTCAACTTCAGAAACCTTCGAAAGGTCTTGAGTGTCAGAGGACAGGTGCTCAGTTCTTTTGGGAAAAACAGGCCCCTTGAAGGTATGCCAGTTTGAGTACCCCCAAAGTGAGGCCCTTAAAAATCACTAGCTGCTTGGAAAATCTTGGTCACAGTATTTTAATATACATTTATGCTCAGAAAAGTGACACAGATAGGTATCTAAAAATCCAGCTGTATTATTTCTTTATAAGTAGGGATTCAGGATTCGCTGGTTAACTGGTTGTTTGGTTTAAATTCTCCTGTGTGCTGGTGAGCGATGCAACCCGCATCTGAACAATTCCTGCTGCCCATGAGAATAGAACCCAAAAGCAGCACCAGGACTCCACCAGGAATCATTAAAGGTGGGTATAGGAACATGGAAACCTGCCAGCTCATGGTCAGAAGAGAGCTAGAGGCCCATGGGAAAGCGTGTGCATGAAGAGCAAGCTGAAAGACTTGAGGAGTGAGGATGTCATCAGGAGTAACTTGGGGGAAAAAAAAGCCCAACTGAAAGGATTCCTCATTAATGTTTTTATGTGTTATCTACTCCCGGACTTGAAAGGATAATTGTCTTTGTACCTGCTGTAAAAGTCAAAGGTCCCCTTGATGCTATACAGTGTCTGCCCAACTGAATAAACAGTGAAACAGGTGGTGAGCAGGAGGGATGATCCTCAGCAACTCCAGGATAAACTTAAAGGTTACGGCTCTTAGGGTAGAGTCACCAGATCAGAGCAACAGGTCTTTTCATTCCTCTAATCCCCCATGCATACAGATGATGTAGGGCCAGAAAAGATGACTTTGTTATCCAGGCAGGCCCCTGTGCTTCACAGCAGCCTTCACAACATAGAAATCATTGACTCATGAAAATCAGATGTTAGGAAAGAACAGGTAGGTCATCTAGTCTGTTCTTTGGGACCAGTGCCAGATTGATTTTATCAGTCCATTTCCTTGTGTCCTGTGCAGTCTAGTGGAAAATGTACCAAGCAATGCAGCTTCCACCTCTTCCCTTGCAATGTGCTAACACTGTCTAATGGTGCTTATGGTGGGGATTATCTACTGATTGCCAGTCTAAATTTACACTGGGTTAGGTGCTCAGCTACTAGGGCACGAGGGTCTCTATAAGGTCAATAGAGAGACCCCATTACTCCTATTGCTTGTCTACACACAAATATTGCACTATTTTGTCTTCTATTAATGTTGCTAAACCATTGCATTACACTGGTTTTGTGCATTCACACTGTCACAACTCATATCGCATTACGAGGCTTGTGTCTACACAGCATTCTGCTCACATAGATTGAATGGCATTGCATTGTGGGTAAGTATCTCCCAGGGTCCTTGGCACTGTTTCCAGCCTCAAAGCCTTCTGGGCAGTTTTCACAATGGACAGTGGGTGACCTCCTTATTTCCTCTTTTTCTCAGAACTCATCTGATTCCAGTGCCATTTTCAAACTACGTGGTGCCATCATGACTGAAGAGTACTTGCAATCCTGTGTATGGAATGAGAGTAAAGCAGATCCTGTGGTGTGTTAGCTAAGGTACTTATCTGGCCTCATTACAATAGCATCTGAGCACCTGACAATCGTGAATGTATTTACCCTCACAACGCCTTGGTGAGGGAGGTCAGTGCTGTTACCTCTGTTTTAAGAATGGGGAACGGAGGCACAGAGAGTTTAAATCCAGATTCTTAAAGGCACTTAAGCATTGTGTTACTGACTCATGCAATGCCTAACCATGCTGCCCAGTGGGATTTTCAAGCCTGAGCAAGGTGCCCAAGTTTCCCTTACAATGTATGGGGAGAGTTAGGTGTCTGTCGAAGGGATTTTCACAAGCTGGTCAGCTGAGTGGAGAGCTGCCTAAGCTAGCCAGGACTGAAATGCTGAGAAGAGGGGTGGGGAGAAGGGAGGGGCTTAGGCACCTAAGCAGGTGACCTGGTGCACCTGGCTCATGGTGCTTCAACTGGTGGCCTACAGGGGGAAAACCAGCCCATGGGGATGATTTCGTCTGGTCCCTGAATTTGTTCACCATCCCAGGGGAAATACGCTACAAATGGTGTCCTCTGCACAGCGTAACCACTCACTCACCATACTTACAATGTCATGCTGCATGAAGGACAATGATGGGCCAGGGATAGGCCCTCCTTCTGCTTGGGATCTTCAGTCACAAACTCTCTCCTGGAGTTAGGCTTCTAAGCAAGGTCAGTCGCTTAGGTAGCCCATGCCATAGAAGCCAAGACTCACCCTCTTTCAGGCTGCTGCTCAATATCTTTCTCATGCTCACCCTATGTTTCCCTGAGCTCTGGGCTGTCCTTTCTGATGATAGTCTTCTGTCCCCTCCCCCCCATCCATAGCCTGTCTCTGGCCTTCCTGATGTTGGGGCTGGCAGGTAACAGGTCTTAGGCATGCTCAGAGACCGCCTATAAGATTAACTCCCTATCAAAAATAGGCATTCCCCTGTCTAGTTGAAAAATCCCACTTCATAGCTCCAGAGTTTGGGCTTGAGTGAGGGCTGCAAAAAAGCCATTAGCTGTGGGGTCAGCCAAGGGGATTTAGGTGCCTGTGGAGTTAGGGCAGCTGAGCGGCAGCTTTGAAAATGAAAGTGGGACCTAAACGATGGTCTTAGATGCCTAAGAAACTGAGCCTAAGTGACTTGACCAACTTCACACAAGAAGTCTGTGGTGAAGCCTGGAATTGAAGCCAGGTCCTCAAGTCCCAGGCTGGTCCCTAGCCCCGGGACCATCCTTCCTGTCCTTATATTGGAGAAGCACAATAAGGGGTCTGTGGTGGTTGCCGGGAGATTCCACAGATGGTGGTAATTGCTAGATGGGGACCTGGTACTTGAGTCTTTGGAGATAATTCTTTGGGTCTGGCCAACCAGTGGTGGAATCATCTTGGTATGGAAGCCTGGGATGAGCAAAGTGGATTGAGAAGTTCAGGGTGTGGATGACATCTTACTAGGAGCTCAGTGCTGAGCTAACCCTGCAGCATGAGAGTGTCTGGCCCTGCAGCATGAGAGTGTCCCACACTGTGTGGCAATCACCTTCATACCATATAATCTAACTGCTCTCTTTCCTTTGTTTTCATACATGTAGATAACTCCAATATCTGTTTCTCATCTCCTCCTTATTCAGGTAACATACACAGTTATCCATGTCACTTATTATTTCTCTTGTGAAGCATCTGCCAACCATTCCACTGTCCATTAGGCTACATTTCCGCTGAGGTACCTGGTTCACATTCTAGGACAGTTTCTTCATCATAATCATTGTCATCGGCATCATTATTACATTAGCCACATTAGGCTCTTTCCAGACCGTAGACGAAAGTGTGATCCCTTCTTTGAGGAGCTCACAGCCAAAGAGAGACAAGTAAATTGAGAGTCAGGCGAAGTGGAACATCAACCTGTGTTGCCAACTCTCATGATTTCATTGTGAGTCTTGCAATATTTGGCGCTTTTGTTTAAGCCCCAGCTGCTGGAATCAAGCAATTGCAGAAGAAAGGCATAATGAGATCTGATAGATGGTGCCTAAAGCTAGAAGAATCCAGGCTAGAAATGTTTTTAACAGCTAAGGCAATTGACCATTGGAACAAGTTAGCAAGGGTTGTGGTGGATTCTTCATCACTTGCCGTCTCTATATCAAGACTGGGCTAACTTTCTAAAAGATATGGTATAGCTGAAACCAAAGTTATGGGCATGATGCAAAAATTAGTGGGTGAGGTTCTTTGGCTTATATTATGCTGGAGGCCAGACTAGATTATCATAATCATGGAATCATAGAAATGTAGTGCTGAAAGGGGCCTCAAGATGTCATCTAGTCCATCCCCCTGCACTGAGGCAAGATTAAGTATACCTAGACCATCCCCAAAATGGTTCCTCTGTCCTTTGATTCTCAGCTTTCATTTAAAAACCAAAAAATATGTTTCCCAGTTTCTAGCCCTCCTCTTTGTGGGGAAGTATGAGAATGCGACTGTAATGTTCCATAAAGCCTCAGAACCCAGAAGGCCAAGGAAAAATAGCCATAATTATTTTTTTAAAACACAATCTCAAAGACAATCTCATGATTTTTGTTGGGCCTGAATCCAGATTTGTGACTGCCTAGGCTTGCAGTGCAGAGTTACCCTTCTGACGATTTGTTGACACATGTGAATGAATATAGGAAGGAGAATGGCTTTGTGGAAGGACCTGCCTGGCCCTCTGCTCCCTGCATTGCATCCCCTCCTGAAGATCTCGTCTCTATCCTGGTGTGACGTTATTGACTTGCACTAGGACCGTATAGAACATTGTTGCAACCAAGGTCCTGTAGTGGCACCAAATCTTGTATAAAGGGGGTCAAATAAGGTGTCTAAGATGAGGTTATGGTTTGTTGGGTATGATTATGCTATCTGTTTTCATGTATCATTTTTGTATTTAAAGATATAAGTATTGGCTCTATACTGTCTATGTTTCAAACTTATGCTATGCTTCTGGGTGACACCCCAGACAAGTTGGGGTCAGCTCTGCCTAGCCTGCTGGATGGCCCATTAAGGACCATCAGCTATACAACTGACCCATTGAGAGTAGGCAGACACGCCTTGCGACTCAGCAAGGTATGCAGGGACCTGCCTATGGACAGAACTCTGAGGTTTTTCCAGGCCATGTGATGGACAGCTTGTCTTTTGGACAAAGAAAGAAAAACCACATGGCAAGAGAATATAAAAAGCTGCTGCAGCTCCTCCATCTGGTCTTCAATCCTGCTTCTTACCTCTGGAGGAACTTTGCTACACTGAAGCTTTGAACAAAGGACTGATGACCCATCTCAGCTGTGGATGTTCTCCAGAGACTTGATTTGAACCTGCAGTTTATTCTATCACTGCTGCAAGCCTGAACCAAGAACTTTGCCATTACTGTATGTAATTGATTCCATTTACCCAATTCTAGCTCTCATCTATATCTATTTCCTTTTATGAATAAACCTTTAGATTTTATATCCTAAAGGATTGGCAACAGCGTGATTTGTGGGTAAGATCTGATTTGTATATTGACCTGGGTCTGGGGCTTGGTCCTTTGGGATCGAGAGAACCTTTTTTCTTTTACTGGGGTATTGGTTTTCATAACCATTTGTCCCCATAACGAGGGGCACTGGTGGTGATACTGGGAAACTGGAGTGTCAAAGGGAATTGCTTGTGTGACTTGTGGTTAGCCAATGGGGTAAAACCAAAGTCTTCTCTGTTTGGCTGGTTTGGTTTGCCTTGGTGTGCATAGAAACTCCAGCCTTGGGCTGTAACTGCCCTGCTGTACGCAATTTGTCCTGAATTGGCACTCTCAGTAGGGTCCCGCCAGAACCAGCATCGTTACACCTGGACAAGGCCTGTATGAACTTTGCTGACAGTGGCTCATGGGTTCTGTGGTTCTATGTAAGATAGTCGCAAGTTTCTCCTCACCTGTGCCAGTATCAGCAAAGTTCATAGAGGCATTGGCCATGACAGAGACAGGGTTTTCGGGAGGGGAAGCAATGTGGAGAGAGGATGGCCAAGCTGGTCCTTCCACAAAGCCCCTCCCCTGACATGAGCCAGGCTTATCCCATTGAAGCTGCTCCGCAGGACACACCCTGGTGGCCTGAATGTGCTTCTGCAGGTAGTTTTGCCTCATTAACAGAGATAAGTGAAATTGCACAGTGGGGGTTATCACTGTGTCCCCCTTTGTGCAGGGGAGGCCTGCACATTGCTCAGGACCATCCCGAGGGACATTCTGGGCCCAGACAGCTCTGCTGGTCAATGAGGAGAGGAGATATTACCCTAACTTCTTCTCATCCCTCCCACTTTGAGGTGGTTTGCACCCCTGGAGTGCTAGGAGACAGCAATAAATGTGTGACAGCTGCCATCTTGGCTGATACGCCCGTGATTTAACCGAAGAGCTTCAGAGCTAACGGCAGGAGCTGTTATGGCTTGAGTTAAACAGCCAAGACTCCCCAGTTGAGGCTGTAACAGCTCACTTCCTTTGCAAGTTGGGCACTGAGGGGTTCCTGTAACATACACTGAACAAAAAGAAAAGGAGGACTTGTGGCACCTTAGAGACTAACAAATTTATTTGAGCATAAGCTTTCGTGAGCTAGAGCGCACTTCATTGGATGCATTCAGTACACTGAACAGTAAGTTACACATACACTCTCCAGGGTGAGGAGACTGATTATCTCTAGTCATTGTGTGAGGGGCCCAAGGAGGGGACGGTTCTTGCACCTTCACACATGCAAGAATGTGGCCTGGTCTATCCCTGGGCTCTCCGTTTCTGGAAGCAAAGCAATAGAAATATGTGGTGTTATTATTGTATTGCAATGGCATCCCAGAGCACCAGTCATGCTCCATTGTGCTACATGCTGTGGAAACAGAACAAAAAGGTGGAATCTTTAAGCCAAAGAGCGTCCAACCTATATAAAATACCATTCCAGCTGGCATCCAGGTGGAGCAGAAGGGGGTAGGTTCTGGCCTATAAATCCTAACACTGCCTGGATGACCCTATGTGGAAGACCACCACGCTCCCCATGACTTTGCTGCGCCAGTCAGCAAGGCCACTGGAGCTGCTGCTCCCTTAATACACTAGGGAGTGAAGTGTTGCCAAGGCTTTCTCAGCGAGCCCCCCTCAGCTTTGGAATCCACTATCCACTTCCATCTGCAACAGCCTGAATTTACAGGCTGTCAGGGCATGCTGAAAAGCCTGGTTTCCTCAGCAGGCACTCGGGGAAGGAGCAGATAGCTGAGGCTGGGGTTTCTTTGAGGAATATTATGAGGCTGCAGATGGCTAGGAGTGATGGGGACTCGTTGAGGATTCTGGGGGGATGTTAAGTGTTGGGAGGATTCTGCTGTTCTCTTGTGATGGTTTGTAACCGATGGCCAAAGGTGTCCAGAGACTGAGTTAGGAGCAGCTCCGTGTGTTTGTTTATGACGGAAATGATTGAATTAAACATGATGATTCTGGGAAGAGGGAGACGATGGATCCTTCAGATGTGGCAGCTGCACAACAGACAACAGATACTCACACAGCTGGGGAGCAGGAGGGCTTATCTCCCACGAGGGATTGTCAGTAGAAACGATGACAGACTGAGAGCAGAGTGGCCAGATAAGAACAACATCAAAGCGGGTTTGGAGCAATTTCATGGCCTCTGGAGCCGCACCCTAAAAATCCCCCCACATGGTAAATTAATCTTCTTTCCTCCTTAGGGAACTGCATAAATGCAGAGACTCTCCTTCCTCTTTCTGCAGAGGAGCACCAGTCTCACTGTCTCTCCGTGCCTCTTCTCTGCAGTGACTCTGGGATCCAGCCAATTTTCAGCCATGAAGACCCTTTACCTTCTCTTTGCTGTTTTCTGCTTAGTTTTCCATGTCCAGGCCAATCCCATGCCTGTTCCTGAGGATGTGCCACAAGGGGAGCCCCAAAACCTGGATGATGGGATAGGAATGGAAGATGTTGATGTTGTCGAAGGTAATTTGGAGAAATATATGTTTGCCAGTGGAATATCTGATTACGTGAGAGAACGATATCCATGGTCTGTGGAGAGACAGTTGTAGATACCTGTGTGTGAGTGTGCATGTGGATGTATGTCTGTGAGCATGTGTGTGTGTAAGCAATAACACACAGCAAAGTGTGCCTGACACACACACAGGTCTGGTGTGTTGTGGGGTACGAAGTGACCACATATTTCAAAAGAATTCAGTGTGGAGCGTGGGCTCTTTTGAAATTCACCCTGGGGACCTGCTGGCTGCTGAGCCACTTGGCTGAACAGCCTGAATTGAGGGTGCTGAGCATTGACAGTCTAGCCTGAGCTCCTCAGAGAATCCAGGCCCATGAAACTACGGCTGTGTTATATTTAAAGTGGCTCTGTCACTGCTCAGCAGCTCCTACGCCAGTGGTCTCCAACTTCCCCTCCACCGTTGTTGCCTGCCTTTCTGCTCCCTCTTTTGGGGAGACAAAGCCCTATTGGCTTAAACAGGGGAAAGGGAGCAATTTAAAATCACTAACGGCATCTAGAGTGTTTTACAGCATGAGAAGAAGAATTAAGGGTGGGACCCACCTACCCCCAAAATGTGAACCCATGTGAACGCTGATGATTACTCCAAATCTGCATCCCTGCTCTTTACACGAGGGCATCATAATATCTCAGGTTTTGTTTTTTAATCCACTGGAACAAGAGGGTACCAAGAGAAACAAGAGAAAGCCTCTGTGGGGGAAGAGGGGCACAGGACTGTGGGACGGGTTTCACAGAAAGGATGCTGTACTTATCTCAAATATGTTAACACAGGAAAACACGTGCTTTGATCTTTTAATCCAGAATGGTGTATCCATCTGTGCTGTGTTATTACTAAGAGTTGGATGGGTTTGTAATGATGAATGATAGTCTTGCTGTTAGGATAATAGATTCCGCCTGTCGGTAGCTGACTTACCTGTGCTCTTCACTGACTGAATGGACTATCTCTCTTGTTCGGAAATCCACATAGCTTGAATTTGTGAATATAAAAATCACAGAGATTTTTTTGTGTGTGCAGCTCCTGGTGGTCAGGCCAACCCTATGGTGTGCTCGTTTTCTGGCGGTACTTGCAGAAATGATGGATGCGTTGGTAAAGAAATGACAAGTGGAATGTGTTACCCAGGCGTAGTGTGCTGTATAAGACCGTGAGTGGAGACGTCAGAACTCCAGACACAGAATTCAGAGCATCCAGACCAAATGTGTCCATCCACATATATATATATATATATCAAGCTGTTCTGAAATCATGTTCCTGTAATTAAAAGCAATCCTTGCATTAGTATCACTCTGTGTGTGTGTGTGTGTTTATTTCCCCAAGACAGGCTAATTTATAAGTCTGGATATTTGGGCTCTTTAGAAGCCTAACTACATTTGCAAGTCTGGGTTTATCGGAGGAAGCCACATGGGGTCCTCCCATGGAGAGAGATGTAGCCTATAGGGCTAGCCTGCTTGCATGCCTATATAGCATGTCTTATGGGTTTCTTATTTTCTTACGGGTTGGATTATTTGTTTTATTTTAATAGAATCATAGAATCATAGAATATAAGGGTTGGAAGGGACCCCAGAAGGTCATCTAGTCCAACCCCCTGCTCGAAGCAGGACCAATTCCCAGTTAAATCATCCCAGCCAGGGCTTTGTCAAGCCTGACCTTAAAAACCTCTAAGGAAGGAGATTCTACCACCTCCCTAGGTAACGCATTCCAGTGTTTCACCACCTTCTTAGTGAAAAAGTTTTTCCTAATATCCAATCTAAACCTCCCCCACTGCAGCTTGAGACCATTACTCCTCGTTCTGTCATCTGATACCATTGAGAACAGTCTAGAGCCATCCTCTTTGGAACCCCCTTTCAGGTAGTTGAAAGCAGCTATCAAATCCCCCCCTCATTCTTCTCTTCTGCAGGCTAAACAATCCCAGCTCCCTCAGCCTCTCCTCATAACTCATGTGTTCCAGACCCCTAATCATTTTTGTTGCCCTTCGCTGGACTCTCTCCAATTTATCCACATCCTTCTTGAAGTGTGGGGCCCAAAACTGGACACAGTACTCCAGATGAGGCCTCACTAATGTCGAATAGAGGGGAACGATCACGTCCCTCGATCTGCTCGCTATGCCCCTACTTATACATCCCAAAATGCCATTGGCCTTCTTGGCAACAAGGGCACACTGCTGACTCATATCCAGCTTCTCGTCCACTGTCACCCCTAGGTCCTTTTCCGCAGAACTGCTGCCTAGCCATTCGGTCCCTAGTCTGTAGCTGTGCATTGGGTTCTTCCGTCCTAAGTGCAGGACCCTGCACTTATCCTTATTGAACCTCATCAGATTTCTTTTGGCCCAATCCTCCAATTTGTCTAGGTCCTTCTGTATCCTATCCCTCCCCTCCAGCGTATCTACCACTCCTCCCAGTTTAGTATCATCCGCAAATTTGCTGAGAGTGCAATCCACACCATCCTCC